TTGTGGACGAAACAAATTTCGAATTAAAATTACGAGCCTGTACTAAAACCGGAATTACCAGAAAAGCAGCATATCGCTAAGCACTAACTGTCAACGGCTTCCAGCTGAAAAACTAGCTTTTATCGTATCCGTAGAAAAAAACATACTGAAATTCAACTGTAGATGGCATAATGCGCGCGGAAAACAACTTCGAGAGACGTCAATGTTTAACTTACTTGGGAAGTAACAGGAAAAAATGTAACGGACACCGACAAAGTTTTCGAAAGGATGAAGCAACTCATTTAACTTTTGAAAAAGGGGTGATTACAGCTACATTTTTATGGTATGAATTGGAAGTGGCAAGCCTATTCAACAATGCATTAGTTTTTTACTGTGAGGAAAAGTTATGTAGACTGTATTTTGGCTAAGCCAGAGGAGTGCTGTTCAGGGACGCTAAAACGCTGTTGCGACGATTCTGTCATCAAATACATATCAAAAGTGGTTTTTTGTTACCACTTACTACGTAGTTTAAAGATGTTTTTTAATATGTTTAGTTTTCTGCATACAAAGGCGAACCTGTGAAGAAATATCTTTACCTTTTTTTCAGAAAAATGCTACAGTCAGCAGTAGGTAATTATCTCGGAAAAATTAACGACTGCCCCCAGTTTTCTTTGTGGATCCTAATAACCCTGGCTAAGATCTACTTTTTCCACGTTTTGTTAATCTGGCGGAAACACGTTTGTATTTTGTATGCACCATTCGTTATTAGCCTGAGGCACCCCACAGCCGCTGTATGGTGTCGGCGTATCCCTTATCCTATTAATTTTTGTCCTAAATATCTTGTATCCTGTTAAACCCAGCTCAACGATTTTCTACTCAATAATGTCTTGTTTTATCTGATCTAAACATGCTCTACACCATTAATATTTCCCCTAAATTTCTTGCATCCTATTAACTTATAACCAAAATATCCAGTATCCTGAAAACCCCTAATAGGGCCTCACTGATGAACAGATAAAGCTGAGCAAGATACACAGATCATAATCTTTTGACCTCATACTGTCTATCGTTTTCTTGTTTTTCTTGTTGTTGTTGTTTTTTTAAATACACGACCACCCCACCTACCCTGCAAAAATAACCTAGAGAATGCCTGCAAGCAGAAGCTCATGTTCAAATCACCCTGGGGAGGCCAGTCACTAGTTTAGCCACAGAAATGCGTAAAATGGCTTTAATGTTGGGTACATTTTCATTTCCTACCCGCCCTACCCCTACCTCTTGGAATGTGCATTTGTCAAATGTAGCGCAATCTGTGGAATAATGGCGGGTGCACAACAGATCAAAACAGAACTGAGCTTAAACGAGTTCTTGATGAGAATCCTCGATTAAGAGGAGGATTTTAAAGGCTGCTAACAGACTTCTGGGTCTGTTAGGATCTCAGCAAATTGTTAAACTTCTTGTAAACGGCGGCTTATGAGACGAAAGACAAATAATATTGATAGATGTTATGAAGCGGGCTTCGGAGAGTTGAAATCTGCTTAA